AAAAGTATATTTTCTGACCACAAATTAAATTCAACTTTTAAAAATGTTTCTAAAGGGCCCAGCAGATGGTGTAATGGTTACATCACTGGACTCCCACGGAGCTGACTGTTGTTTAAGTACCGAACCCAGAGGCTTAAAATTCACACCAGGCACACATGCATACATGCCCAAAATCCCAAGAGGAGAATGGAGGAGAAGGGACTGCAGCATGACCATCCCTCTGGGGGGGGTGATTTCTCGCTGTCTCTCTGATAAGCGCATACACCCTATACCAAAAATCTCTTTAAAAAAAAAAAAAAGTTTCTGGGACCAGCAGTTAGTGTAATGGCTATGTCGCTGTACTCCCATGTAGTCAGCCGCAGTTCGGGGCCTGGACCTGGTGACTTAAACTCATGCCGGACTCGTATGCGTGTGTGCCCAAGATCCCGAGAGGAAAAGGGATGACAGCATGGCCATCCCCGCTGGGGGAGTGATTTCTCTCTTTCTGGCAAGTGCACGCTCCCTATAGCAAAAAACTCTCAAAAAAAAAAAAAAAAGTCTCATTATGCTTCTCTCGTAATTTTATCCATTTTTTTGCTTTATATATTTCGAAGAAATCTTACTAGGTGCATATCATTCTTACAAATTGAACTTTTTACAAAAGAATAATTTTCTTTTGGGTATTATAAGGCAACAGGTATATCCAGAGTTAAATAAGGTTAACTAACTATAAGATTAAAAGCAGGGGAAACCAGGAGTTAGCGTAATGGCTATGTTGCTGGATTCAAACGTAGTTGACCGCGGTTCGCGTCCCGGACCCGGTGACTTAGAACTCACGCCGGGCGCGTGTGCGTGCGTGCCCAAGATCCCAAGAGGAGAATGAAGGAGAAGGGATTGCGGTGTGACCATCCCCCCTGGGGGTTGATTTCTCGCTTTCTGTCTCTATGTCTCTCTGTCTGTCTAGCGAGCGCACGCGCCCTGTAGCGAAAAAACCTCTCCAAAAAAAAAAAAAAAAGAAGATTAAAAGAAGGGACCAGCAGTTAGCGTAATGGCTATGTCGCTGAACTCCCATGTAGTCGACCGCAGTTTTGAGTCCCGGACCTGGTGGCGTAAACTCACACTAGGTGCATGTTTATGTGTGCCCAAGATCCTGAGAGGAAAATGGAGGAGAAGGAATTGCAGTGTGGTCATCCCCCCAGGGGGTGATTTCTCGCTTTCTGTCTCTGTCTCTCTCTGGCGAATGCATGCACCCTATAGCAAAAACCTCTCCAAAAAAAGAAGAAGAAGAAAAAAAGCATTATTCCAGTTAACTCTCTCATCAGTGTTGTCTCATTGGTGTGCTATAGCTGACTCATTCCAACTTGTGCGATCTGGTTGTTAAATATTTAGGACTTTTGTGAGTCGGTCGTTAAACCTCTGTTAACCTAAAATCAAATATGGTGAAAGTATTCTCACCATAGAACTTGGCAAATGCTACAATTCAGGACTTATTTTATTTTCCTTTCTGAAAGTCGATTTGCCAGCACACTGCTGAATCTAATCTTTTCTTTAAACTTTCCACTGACTTTTTTTCCCCTTTAAATACATTTGTTATTGAATATCAACATACATGCAGAAAGTAAGTGCCCAATCATAATTGTTCAGCTCAGTTACTTTTTTTTCTTTCTTTCTTTTTTCTTGGAGAGATTTTCACTACAGGGCGCGTGCGCTCACCAGACAGACAGAGACAGACATAGAGACAGAAAGCGAGAAATCACCCCCCAGAGGGGATAGTCACGCCGCAATCTCTTCTCCTCCATTCTCCTCTCAGGATCTTGGACACGCACGCACATGCGCCCGGCATGAGTATTAAGCCACCGGGTCCGGGACGCAAACCGCGTTCTACTACGTGGGAGTCCAGCGACATAGCCATTACGCTAACTGCTGGTTCCCAGCTCAGTTACTTTTTAAAGAGAGAATATAGAAAATGGCACTTAGCCCTCCAGAGGTCCTATTCTGTCATTACTCCTCAAGGGAACCTCTGTCTTTCCTTCTAACACCATAGATTTGTTTTGAACTATATATGAGTGGAATCATATGTTATGAACTCTTTTGTATTTGGCTTCTTTTGCCTGACATTATGTTTGTGAGATTCATCCATGTTGTTGCACTTAGTGCAATTTGTTTACTGTGTTCTTTCTCATTGACATATTATATTATTGCAATATTTAACAATTTTTTAATCTATTCTACTGTTGACAGATTGTAGGACTATTTTCATTTTGGGGTATTTTGAATAGCACTGCACTAAAAATTGTTCCATGTGACTTTTGGTGAACATATGTACAAATTTTTGTTGAGGATATACCTGGAAAAGAAATTTTTGAGTCATAAGATTTGCATATGTTCAGATTTAGTAAAACAGTGCTAAACAGCTTTCCAAAGTGGTTGTACAGTTTCGTTCTCTGTAATATCATACAAGCATTCCAGTTTCTCCCCATCCCTGCCAACATTTAGTGGCAATAATTTTTATAACATTATTTATTTATTTAGGGATTTTGCTACAATTTTGTACTTGCCATAAAGTTAGAGAAACAGAAAGTGAGAAAGCATCCCCCAGGAGGGATGGCCATGCCACAATCCCTTCTCCATTTTCCTTTTGGGATTCTAGGCATATGCCTAGCATGTTTTCAAGCCACCCCATCCAGAACTCAAACTGCACAGTCGGCCCTGTGAGATCCAGTCATCTTGACTGCCATGCCACCAGCTAAGCCAAATTTATTTAAATTATTTCTTTACTTATATAATTTCTACTTCTGTCTCAAATATATTTGGAAGTAGAAGATATGCATGAACTTGGGGACCAGCAGTTAGCATACTGGCTATGTCACTGGACTCCCATGTAGTCAACTGGGGTTCGAGTCCTGGACCCAGTGGCTTAAACTCACGGCAGGCACGTGTGCATGCATGCTCAAGATCCCGAGAGGAGAGTGTAGGAGAAGGGATTGCAGCATGGCCATCCCCCATGGGGGGTGATTTCTTGCTTTCTATCTCTCTGTCTCTCACTGTCTTTATGGCAAGCACACACCATTTAGAAAATGCCATTTAGAAAAAAACACAAGAGAATAAAATATAATTCATGAGAATAATAAAAACTTGCTGGGCCAGCCAGTGATGGTCAAGGCAGCTGAATCCCACTGGCCAACTGTGGTTCAAGTCCTGGACTATTTTCAAGGCAGCTTGAAAATACGCCAGACACAGATATGTGCATCCCAAAATCCCAAGAGAAGAATGAAGAAGGGATTGGGGTGAGGGCCACTCTCCTGGAGGGTGTTTTCTCAAGCAAGCACACATGCCCTATAGCAAAATTTTCAAAAAAAAAAAAAAATAGAAATATCAAGTAAATAGTGGTATAAGTAATATATACCTATGTGGCCAGCAGGTGGCATTGGTGGTAAGGGTGCTAGACTCCCACATGGCCAACCATGGTTCAAGTCCCAAACCTGGCAGCTTGCTTTCTCACTTTCCCTCTCTTTCTCTCTCTGTGTCTCTCTGATGAGCATACATGCCCTGTAGCAAATTAAAAATAATAATAATGAGAAATCAAATCAAATCAATAATTATTTTAAAAATATATATATAAAGTAAAAATTACTAAATTGGTATAAAGACCATTGAATTTCGCTATGTGCTGGTATGCATATTGTTTTCATTTATATGCAATATTTAGGAGCTGAGTTTCCACTTGGTTGTGGCCACTTTACTTTTCTTTGACATCTTCCATTCCCTGCTATTATCCCAAGTCAGTGCTAATTCCTCCTTTCTCTGTAAACCCCTCGACACATTATGCATACTGCAAATCTTTTTACTTCCTGCTTCACATAAAATATATTTCTTTAATATTGCCTCCCTAAGGGCTTTGTGAGATTCTTAGAGCAAAGGCTTTGTCTCACTTGTCTTTGCATTTTAGTGTCTGGCACGATGCCTGCCCTATAGTGGGTATTCAATTAATGTTTATTGAATAGATGAATAAAGAAATCCTTTATGGCCTGTGCAAGTCCTAGAAAATAAAATGTTTCTTCAGTATAAGTTTGTATCTCTTATTAATTAGACAAAAGCAGTTAAAATGATGAACTCCCTCCAGCATTCCAATAAAAGTTATCGAGTCTCATCAGATACCTTTTACATTTGGCACAGAAAGGTTCTCACCTGAAAATGGAACTCTAAAATTGTAGTTGAGAAACACTTTCTTGATTAAGAGCACTTGATTAAAAAGGGCTTGTAAATGAAAAACAATACAATTTTTGTAAGGACTAAGCTTCTTTTATCTTGCCTCGTTTTCATTTCACGCTTCGACAAATAGCACCTTTTGGCAGTCATGGCTTTTTTCACTGCCAAATGCAGCATCCGTGACTCTGGTCATGCCCTCCTTTGACGTCACTCCGAGAGAGGTCATCAGCTCATTAGCTGCCTAAAGCTGGTCACCATTATGGCGTCCAGGCCCCAAGTGTACAGTCTGATGGACTCACGATGAGTTTAGAATTTGATTCTTTTTTCTTGATGGCTCAGAAATGTTTTTTAGAGCATTGAAACTTTGGGCAATTATAAAGGAATGTACCTGATTAAAGGAGACCTGTAGCTATTCAGTAGAACAAGGAAAAAAATTAAAAACTTTCTTGGACAGGATGTCTCCTGGCTTTCTCTCCAGATTAGACATGGAAAACATTTCTGTTTCTCTGACTTTAGCTTTTTCTTTTCCAGTTCCCATCTCCCAACAATATTTCTCCCATTCATCTTATACCATTGCTTCTCACAAAAGCAAGATCATGGGGCCCAGCAGGTGGTGTGGTGGCTAAGGCGCTGGACACTCCCACATGCCTGACCACGGCTCGAGTCCCAGACCTGATGACTTGTTTTCTCAGTTTCTCTCTCTCTCTCTTTTTGTCTCTCTGTCTCTCTCTGGTCAAATTAAGACAAATGAAAAAAAATGAGATCATTTTGGCTCTTTACTCATACCTTTCTCACTTTTTTTCTCTGCCTAGTCAACGCCTTCCCTCTGCTCCTTGCCTGCTCCACCCTTACCCCTACCCTTAGGAGGACATGACTATCTTGTGTTCTACCTGAGAAGATTAAGCCTCTGTTTTCCAAGGTGCTATCTGATCATTTTGGAATTTGTCACTTATAGCTATGTAAATTTAATGGTGGATCTTTGCTTTAAAGCTACTCACAACGCTGGACACTCCCACATGCCTGACCACGGCTCGAGTCCCAGACCTGATGACTTGTTTTCTCAGTTTCTCTCTCTCTCTCTTTTTGTCTCTCTGTCTCTCTCTGGTCAAATTAAGACAAATGAAAAAAAATGAGATCATTTTGGCTCTTTACTCATACCTTTCTCACTTTTTTTCTCTGCCTAGTCAACGCCTTCCCTCTGCTCCTTGCCTGCTCCACCCTTACCCCTACCCTTAGGAGGACATGACTATCTTGTGTTCTACCTGAGAAGATTAAGCCTCTGTTTTCCAAGGTGCTATCTGATCATTTTGGAATTTGTCACTTATAGCTATGTAAATTTAATGGTGGATCTTTGCTTTAAAGCTACTCACAACGCAGCGGCAGTACTATGGTAGTGACCTTCAGTGCTCTGCAGTGCTGGATGCCATATGGGGGATCAGAGTTCACTTCCCAGGTTGACCCATATATAGGTTGCCTGTGATCTTAACTAGGTACAAGGCTGAGAGGGTGGATCATGGTGTGATAGTCTGTTGAGGGTGCTTGTCTGTCTCTTTCTCTTTCCATTCATATGAAAGAAAGAATAGAAATTGGGGGCCAGCAGGTGGCGTGGTGGTTAAGGTGCTGGACACTCCCACATGTCTAACCACAGTTCAAGGACCGGATCTGGTGGCTTGCTGTCTCACTTTCTCACTCTCTCTCTCTCTCTGTATCTCTCTCTGGTCAAATTAAAATAAATAAATGAATAAATAAAATTAAATAAATAATTATTTAAAAAGAAAGAAAGAATAGAAATTTAAAAGGAGCATAAAAACTACTCAAAGAATTAACTCCATGTAACTCCATGTAGATTTTCCACCCTGTTGCAGACTAATCAGGGCGAGCTCACAGAGGGAGCAGTAGTTGTAAAGGGTCCTTGAATTATAGTGTAATTTGAGGTCTTGTTCTTTTTTCCATTCCTCTGCCTGGGAATGATTTTTCAATGTAGAGCTTTTTTAGCTTTGAAGATTTAAAATCTTAAAAGAGCAAGCTATTATATTGGCTAACCATCATTACTAAATACGACATACTCTTTAAAATGAGTAATAAACACAGAATAAAGATGTGACTTGTGTGGGGCAGCCCCATGGCTTAATGGTAATGGAAGCCAAATACCACATGGCCAACTGTGTGGCTTGAATCCTAGTCCTGGTGGCTTGAAAAACCTCGTGTGGGGGGGGTGTGGTGT